GATCTTCAGCTTTTGTAAATCATCATAGCTCAGCCAAAGTCAGGGAAGCTGTGACTGTTTACGTTACCTGAGGATCTAGTCTATTTATTCTTGCTGTAAGGTGGGGTGAAGATATGGCAATTTGGAAATAGGTTGGTCCTATGGCTGAGTTTTAACTGTGTCATTGTATGACATTATAGCATGTTAGAAAGAATTATGCTTGGGGGACTGTTTCTGTTTCATCAGATTGTATAATGGAAATACAGAATAAAATTGAGGGTTGATAGAAGACACAAAAATAAAAATCTACTAATTCAGGACTATCAGAAGTAATGATATCTAAACACCTTAACCTCGAACTCATTAGTCTCACATATCTCAATCAATATGGATCCTCTCAGAAATCAATTTTCAGCCGCAAATATGATTGTTAAATAATTCACAAGTTACAGGCCTTCGGGCAAGAAGAGGTTAGAGAAGTAGAAGGAAAGTGGTGATCTCAACCTCAGATGTGATTTCAATTAAAAGAAGAGAGCATCTGTAAAATATAATTTTATGTCTGAGGCATCAGTCCATTGTTTAAAGAAGAAAAAAAATTATACATGTACATTATACTCTTCTGTAGTGTGATATTTTAAAAACATTTATTCTTTACATATTAACCTAAAAAGAGATGGTGAATTGGTTATCAGGGAATATTTCATATTAAAAACTGAACAGGTATTAAGCATGTCTTAGCAAAAATAATGACACAAAAATACCTTTATCAACCTGTTTTTAAACAAAGGATTTAGAATTTGTGACTGAACTTTTGTTTTTCTTCTGTTATCTCCCATATAATTTTATATCAGGTATTATCAAGAGACTCAAGAAGATACTAGTTTGGCTATGTGATAGATTCTGCAATATAGCAATTTTATGGGTATTAAAAGTGAGGCTAGGGAAGGCTTCTTATTTAGAGTTTATAAAGGGACCAGATCCTGTTACAAGGCCCTTGTCCAAGGCATAACAAAAAGACTCCCATCGATTTAATAGGTCATGGATCAGGCCTTAACTACCCTGTGCAATTTTAGGATAATAGCATTAAAGTTAGTGTCATTTTATCATTGTTAAACTGGTATAAATTATTGAGATTCAGACCCTACATCTTAAAAATTCTTTTATTATGCCTGTAGATGCAAATGATAGTTTTAACAATTTTTTAAAATTATTATTTTATTCAAAATTATTTACTATTTTAATTATCTCTGCACTAGACAATTATTTCAAGTAATTGTAATGACACATTATAATCTGACGTTATCTGAATTCTCTCAGGGATTTTTCAACGTACATGATTTGGATAAATATCAAACACTCCAAATGCATTTGAATTCAGCCCAGGTCAGTAATGACCAAAAGGTATTACTGTCTGAAGGCTCTCCAGTGACTTAGTCAAATGAGCTGGTGAGCTCATTCCAGTTCTGAAGGCACTCGTGTACTCTAATGACGGATGCCAGTATAATGGCTTGAATAGATAGCTTCTGACTGAAAAAGCTTCCGTGTAACAATGCCCAACTGGCACTTATTGGCCCTCTCTATAAACTTAACTACTTTCTTGCCCTTTGAAGTGGTCTCTCCAGGTCCGGGATAAGGTAGTGCAGTATTGGGGGAACATTTTGTGGTGAACCTTGGATTGTTGCCTGTTCTGTTCTTGAACTGCAAAAGGCTTCATTCATTCATTCTTTAGGACTGTAAGTCTGCTACCTTTCACCTTCACTAAATTTAAGGTTCAAAAAGAAGAAAGATCTCCCTTGTAAAAAAATAGTGGACTATTCACTCAAGAGTAACGGTAGGCATGGGTTTAAGTCATAGATTTATCTTGCCCTTATAAGAAAAGTCATGTAGATTTAGCTGAAACATCCTCTACATTTTAATAGAGAATTTTCTCTTACGGAATTCTATAAGATGATTGAAAACACTTATAGAAAGGATATAATTCTCTCTTAACATTTATGAGTCTTTTAACAAGGAAAAAAATTGTTGGTTTCTTTTCGGTTGCAGTCTATGCGACTTCTCCATAGGAGTTGAAATGAGAATGAGGGCACTGGTCTTCATGCATGTGGATAATGATTATGTTATGGCCAATAGTGAAAGGTAGCACATTATTGCTGGCACAAAGAAAGGTAATATTAATGGATAAAATGGTGATTAATTTGTTCCATAGTGACAGGAAAGATGACTGACAGGTTATCTATTCTTGGACTGCTTTGGAAAGAGTACTACTGGGTGGAAATATTCTTGTGTTTTCTTTTTGGTTGCAAAAAGATGGGGACGGGGCAGAGACATAGTATTTTCATCATACTGCAAATGATTTAGAACCAACCTTAATAAATATGATGAGTTTTAGAATTCAATCAAAAACAGGCTATTATAAGAGTAATATATATTTTGCTCTTCTTTTCTAAATCTGGGTCTGCGTTGAATGAACTTTCTTTTAAAAATATATTGTGGAATGTGATTAGTGGCAAATGTCAGTGAAATTTATTGTACTATTAAAATCCTATTGGGTCTTTGTTTATAAAATGTATTTTCCTATATTTGAGGTTTAGGGAGGCTTGATAATGAGGCTGTGAAGATTCATAGCCCCTTTTCTGCAGCTTAATTTAGGCTCTATATCAAATATGTAAAATAACATTATATCTTGCTGCAGCCCATGTGTGTGATACATTTTTGTATTATTTCCCTGCCAATGTTATTTCATTTATAAATGCAGAGCTAGTAAATGGTGACAAACTGACAAAAGCTTAGTGTTCTGTTATTTCTTAGGCTAGTACAGTAGCTGCAAACATAGGAGGTGTTCTGTTCAGTTTCCCATATATTCGTTTAAGGGATTTACCTGTTTATGTGCACTCATGCATGCACACATACATGCGTGTCCACTAAAGTAGGCTAAATACTTGATGCCCGATTAATAGTGGAATGGTTCCCTGTAAGATGCAGGTAAGAAGATTTTCCAAGGCCCAACTTGAAATAACTATCTTCTGACCTTTGAAACCCTCTACCTCCTGTGTTGGGATGCTAAAATAAATTTTCCTTTTCAAAAGTGCTGTGGTCTTAAGTAGCATTGTCCCCAGAAGGAGTAGTGACATTATCTAAACTGAAGTTATGGAAGCATTACTAAGGAATATTTATTTTGCATAAGGGTGCAAGTTGATGAATTTCTGGTGGTGATGAAGATGATGATAAGTTTTCTTGATCTTTATAGAGTTGATATGACCTGAGACAAAGGCTTAAACCTGCAAGTCACTGAACACCTCCTGTGAGGTGCTGAGATCCATCAACTCTCAGTGAAGTCAGAACCTGGATCAGTTTCCAAATGATTTCAGTCATTTGCACTGATATTGTGTGTCTCTTCAAGAGAAAACCTAAGGTGTGTGATTTATGGAAAGACCAAGCATTGCTCTTTTCCATGGTTCAGCTAGAACCTTGTATTCCTGTCTTGTCTGTAAACAGTGCAGTATTTACCTCTTAGCACTCAAATAGCACTTTTTAATGCCCTCAGATAAACAAGTGAAAGGGGGCAACACTTGGGTGTCTGAAGGTAGACCGTGCTTATAGTATGGAGATATCATTTGTTATTGAAACTTGTGACCATCTTCTAAATAGAGGGTGGAAAGTAGTTTTCTAGAATGAGGAAGAAGAAAGAATGAGGGAATATCAACCCTTATTATAGACATATTTTATCTAACACATTTGAAGCAACAAAGCAATGGTGTTACTTCAGGTTTACACTTTAATTGAAATCAGAATTCTACGTCAAGGATCTACATGCAAACTGATTAAATTAATTGTCAGTCAAATGAGAATTTAAAAAAATCAACAACCAAATTGGCATCAGTGGAGTTGTATATATTAAATCAGTCTAGTTCTTATTCTGTATTCAAGCCCAAAGTCCTCGAAAGTGAAAATTGTCATTGTCAAATATATGTTTTGTTTTCTTAGCACTAGTTAAGAGGTAATTTATGAGATTATTAGTCCCTGATGTCTGTACTACAAACCCTATTCAGTGTTTCATTTTGATAGAAATTTTATATAATAGTGTAAGTTCCTTGAGTGTTATTCAGTTGCCTTTTCTGGCTACAGACAATTCATTTATTTATTCAGGAAAACAAATCTTTGTAACTGGGCTTTCCTTTTCAGAAATGTCTTGGGAAGTCAACAGAACAAAGCCCTGTTAATTGTTCCCTATTCAAGATGCATAACATGATGTTATAATACTGCAACAATATTCATTAGACAAAACAGTTGCAATAATTATCTTATAAAAAGTCAGACAGGGTAATTTCTTTTAAAATGAGAATAATCTCTAGAGAAGATTCTGCTGTAGTTTTGTTTGTGTTTGTTTATTTTTGGCCAAATGATTTTTAATAGCAATTACTGAAGTGTCAATGACCTTTGGGTTCAATTGAATTAGAAAACTTAAATGGAGTTTAACCATTACTGATCTTTGTTGCCTTAGGTTTAACGTAATGGGGCCCTGCAGTAATGCCATCTATACCAGTTTCCTGCTGAAGCTATGGTGGGTCAGTAGGGGTCACTCCTGCTCTGAGCCACTGTACTCACTGCACCTGACCACCTTCCAAGCTCTGCATGTCACCCCTGGGGTGCCTACGACTGGCTGACCCCCTTCCTGGAGCACACCCACAAGCCTGGAATAATCGCTGCCACCACCCAGTGTCTGGTCATTGCCTAGGCCTTGTGCCCCCCAGAGTACACAGGCCTTACAGGCTTAGGGGGTGCTTGACCCAGTGCGAGATCTTGGGCTGCTTCCTTTAATGTGAAAGTAACCTCCCTTAGTCAGCCAAGCCAAGGGAATAAACAAGTGTGCCCTATCCCTCTGAAGCATGTACCTCAAAGCTTGTTATAGTGGATAGCTTTATTGGGTAGAAGGAGTAGGCTTGGGGAGGCGTACAAGTCAGAGAAGTATTGAAAGAATACCCTGAGCAAACATAACTGGCCTGATGGGCATTTAATACGCTTCAAAATTACTGTAAGCTACCTTTCTAGTTCAGTTTCTGGTAATTTACTCACTTCAGCATCCCAGAAGAGGGTGAGGATTGCAGAGGTTCAAGTTGCTGTGTAGAAGTCCAAACATGGCTCTCCTCCCACCCCCAAGATGGAGGGACCCTTAAATAACCTTTCTGACCTCATCCCTAGGACTCAACCATAAGCCAGTATCCCCAGACCACGGCTGATGCTGGTCGGTCAGTTTAAAAAACATCAGCACCCTCAGGTGAGAGTTTAGGGTTACGCAAGAGAGGGGACGAGCAAGTCCTGTCCCCCCTCAGCAATTTGCAACCCTGTTACCATGGAGACCAGGTGCATCCACCAGCCAGAGTTTGTAACCAGGTTTGGGCTGTAGCCCTGCATCAGTGAAACAGGCAGGCAGGGAAGTTTATTCCTCCATAGAAGCCATGTATAAATCAGAGGTGCTGCCAAGTACTACATAAAGCTCCAGAAATTGATAGAGACAGGTTTTGTCTTCTGGGGGCTTTTGAGGGATATTCTGAACTTGATGCTGGAAGTTTTGGTTCTTTTAGATGTCATTTTTTTCCGTTGTGTCGAAGCAGCCACTGCCATGGTAAAGGTAGTTTGCTGAGGTAGAGAAAATCCACCTAAGAACTTTTTAATCCTTCTGTATGCTGCCTCTATGCTACTATGGGGTTGAATCCAAGATCTTGTGTCTGTGAGACATGAAATTTATTGCAGACACAAATAAAGAACTTACCTAATAGCTGGAATGACCTAAGCATTGCTGAAGTAGAATAATAATAACTGTTGGACATTTTCAGAGTGATAAATTAAAAACTGGGATTGTTCCTAGCAAGTCAAGTTTCTTCTTCATTAGGTGTTCCAATGTGGTTTCCTAAGAAGACCAAAAGCACTATAAGATTAATTCCATATTAGAGTGCAGCTGCACTGATCTTTCTAATTTCATTATCCTTAAGTATTATAGAGTACAATTAAAAATGCAGCTCTGGAATACTTATGAAGAAGGACATGATCCATGATTCTTTCTTCACCATTCCAATCATGGGATAGTAGCCTAAATTACTTTTCATAAAATACCAATGTATTGTTCTTTTGAGTTATATATGGTTTTAATTTTACTTCAATTGGAAGGGGACACTAGATAGCAAACACAGGTCACAGAAACAGACAAAAAGCCCAAGGGTCCAATTTGTATAGTCGCTTATTCAAACACATGAACATTTTTTTACCCAGAAGAAAGGTCCCACTGAAGTTTATAGTACTTACTGTATGCATTAGGACGGCCTATACAAGCAAAGGTTTACAAGGTAGGGATATATATCTTAATGTGGTGTCATTTCTTGATATGGCACTGGCATTTTTACTTTTTCTTCTTTCTAATTTTATGGCTTCTTTTTTTTCTTGCCAGAAAAAGGTTGTTACATCATTAATGTTGGAGCATCTTAGTGCTTTTAATACATGAATTATATCTGGAAAAGCATGGAGATGTATTTATTTACTTATAATTTAAATAAAAAAAATTTAAAATTAGGTATAAAAGAATCTTTTAAGTTATATTTGTATAATTTTAAAATAAATTTGGCATATTTTTCTGTTTGGTAACTGAAGCCTTTATCCTTACAGTGAGACCATACTTCTTTTAATGACAATGCTATTACGTCACCAGTCCTGGAACAGTGGAGTCAGAAATTAATTAAGGGACAAAATGATTATAGTCGAGAAAACAGAAGACTAAATAATGCAGAGACTAAGGGCTATAAATAGTTCCACTGGGTCCCATTCATATCTCTGGCACTCGTGTAAATGCAAAATAACTCCAATGAAGTCATCAGAATAACTGACAGTAAAATGTAGGTAAGATAGAAGCACTCATATGTGAATAAAGTAAGCAGGATTTTGCCCTAAAGATTCATTAAAATTTGAATGTCGATAGGATGAGGAGGAAATGAAAAGATCGGGCCAAAGTCTGCTTTTATTTACATCACTGCAATCCCATGAAGTCAGCTGTGGGCAGAATTTCATCCAACATTGGCACAGACTAACTTCAGGGTTTCTTAAACTTGTTTTAGTGTGTGCGGCAGGCCAAAAATATCAATAAATAGAATATGTTTCCAAAAAAATCCAGCAAACCTTGGAAAGTCTCCTTTGTAGTACAAGAAATGTTGGGGTAGAAAACGGGGGTGGTGGGTTACATAAATGAGAGCAGGTGCGGTGGTGCAGAGGTAACTATTCAGCATATGTAAGTGCAGTTGGAAAATCATTGTCTTGCAGAGAATACTTGAAATTGGTCCCTAATGGCCTTGGTTTTTGTCATATGGTCCTGATTATCAGGCTAAAATTGCATTGCCAATGCCTTTAGTGTGAACGAGATGGATGAATAATTATTACGTGCACTGAATACCTTTCTGCAAGGAGGAACCAGGACATCCCCTGGTCACCGTAGCTACCATTTCACCCTGCTGTCAGGAAAACTATAAGTGGCCAATTCATCACCTCCTTATTTCTTCAGACAAATAGATAATATACACAGATAACCACACAAAAAATGGGCAGTGTAAAATCCAAAATTGTGAGCAACAACTCTCTCTTGGATTACAGATTAAGGGGAAACAGATCCATGTTGCTGTATTGCATTTCTGAAGATGTCACTGTGTCTTCATATGCATATAAACCCCACTGGAAGATTTAGGAGTGAAAAAATTTCTAACCTAAATACATGCAAGCTAGCCAAAAAAGTGTGTGTGTGGACTAGTGTACCTTTCAGATATAATTTACACTCCTTATGTCTCTCTCAGCGAGAAGGAATATTGGACCCCCTCCTGCTCCTCTTTTACTACATTTTGCTCTGTTATGCGTTACAGCTGTGGGTTCCAGTAATGAGGTTAAACAACAATCTTGCTGTTAGCACTAAGAATAATTCTCTGTGTTATTGCAAGAGTTTACCCCATCCCCCAACTACCCCACAATGGAAAGAAAATGTGCTTGCAGGATCAGAGATGATAAGGTTCAGAACCACTCTAAGATCCATGACCATGACCACACTGCTCATTCATCACCAGAATATTTATTGTAAATCATGGCCTTGTGTAGCTGCTGCTTACCCACTATGCAGTCCTTTGCAATATTGGCAATTAGTTATGAGGGCCACTGGCTTCTAAACACGGTACCTTGAACTTCAGTGCAAACACAAATAGAACACAACAAATTGCACTCCTTGTTAGAGCATGCTGAATGTCTGATCAGGAAGATTATTTCCAGAGAGGGCACAAGCTTTTCAGAGCGAGATTTTCAGTGTCTGAAGGTTTCCTGATTAATTGCTTGATGCCATTTGCCACTAAAACCCTAATGAGGTGCCTAAAAACAGTTTTGATTAAATAATCAGACAGTCATCCCCAACTATTCGGATCTACTGATTATCTTTTACCAGCTGTTTTAGCTGTGGCTACCCATGCTGGATTTGACGAATAAGTAAATAAATAAATAAATAAATGCTAAACTAGGCGCACGTATTTTACATTTAAAGAAAATCAAGAAAGGATGGCAAAAATATATTTAAGAAAATGGTTTTATCTGTAATTACTTATCCATCCATCCACAGGTTTTTGCATTTTTTTTATCAACATTTCACTGAGTCTATTCCACTCATGAATGCACATTTACCTTTTCAGCTACACCCATTTTACAGGTAGGTACATTGAGATGGAGAGGTCTACAGCAAAATAGGCGTGTGTTTTGTTTTTTTTTTAAACTTGGCTTGGTTAACATGGGTTAAAATGGTGATGAAGAGAAGGGAACCTCGATATTATTAACTCAGGTATTAACTTGAGTTCAAACTTATTGCTAACTGCGTGTTGAACTCAAAGCTGCTAATCTAAGTTAAACTGTCATCTAGTCTTCATTGCTATTTTAGCCAAATTAGCTAACTCAGAATAGCCAGACTAAATTAAGAACACACATTTAAAACAGTGTAGATTTATCACCCAGAAGTTGAACGATCTTCTAAAAGTAAGTGAATGTGAAAGTTCTGCTCCTTATTTTGCTGTCCTCATTATCAAATCCTCTCTGTGCAGGTTAAACATATGGTGCCAAATTCACTCCCAGTTCAACAAGTGAATTGCTTCAGGAAAAGGCTGTGGCTCTAGGCCAAGCAGTAGTAAAGCCCTTTCCCTTCCCACCATGAGATACACACTTGTGTATATAGCAAGGCTGTTGTTGTATTTAAAGATTCTGTTGATGTAAAAATATGAGATGAAACCTACATAGTTTGTGATGTCCAATGGCCTGCTTTTAACTTTCCTTTCTAATTGAAAAAGCTAAATCGATTGCATCATATGAATCCTGATTTAGCTTTTAAAATAAGAAGTGAAAGCTAAAAATGGCTCAGTCACATGATTGAAATGCTATCACAAGCTAGTGAAATCAATAACCAAAAAAAATGAAAAGTTCTTGAGTGACAGGTTAAAAATGGGAAATTTAAATATATCTCTGTTGCCAGATTCTGCTTCATTGTGTGTTGCTTAAAGCACATTTTGACAGCCTGTTTTTAAGCAGTCCAGAAGGTGATTTATTAGTAACAGTGAATTTGTGTTTATGTTCCAAATTGTAAACTACATTTATAGCAATATATCTGTACTAAGGTATTAATGTTAGAAGTGCTACCTAAGCTTAACTTTACTGCTGTAACTCAAAATATAGTTTATAGTGCTATAAATAGTAACATCAGTATTGATACTTGCTGCATCATCTGTGTCCCTGGGAAACTCTGTCTCATACTAAATGAAAATTTAGGTAGCTGATACAACATAAAATGTAACCGTAAACACCAACAATATTTCATAGTTCTTATGACTGAGGCTTTATTGTATTTAAATACTAGGTGGCACAATGAAATTTTCGTATTTCAAAATAATGTTTGTAGGGGTTATTAGGTGGTGGAGAGTTGTTTGTCAGTAATTTCTTGCTAACAGTTTACATGACTATAATACATGATAATATGCACTATTGTATACATTGTCTGATATTTAGTATGGCCTGATTATTCATGACACACTTGCAACTTCATACAGGATCCCATCTTGCAAGATTGTATGGGTGCCTTGCACGCTACTTCTGTACATTGAACTATCTGGAGTCCAATGGAATTGGAAACATTTCAGTGTTTAAATTCCCTTTTAGAACTGGGTCCTTCATAATTTTTGAGAGGGTCCAGAGAAGAGCCACCAGTATGATCAGGGACTTGCAAGACAAGCCATATGTGGAGAGGCTGAGGGACTTGGGCCTCTTAGCCTACAGAAGAGAAGGCTGAGAGGGGACTTGATAGCAGCTTACAGCTACATCAGGGGAGTACATCAAGAACTCAGTGGGGAAGACCAGAAGCAACGGATACAAACTCCTGGAGAGCCACTTCAGGCTCAATTCCAGGAAAAACTCTTTCACAGTCATGGTGTCCAGACTGTAGAATAGGCTCCCTCCAGTGGTGGTGCAATTGTCTACCCTGGAAATTTTCAAAAGGAGACTGGACAGTCACCTCCCTGGGGTCACTTGGCCCCAGTTGTCTTTTCCTGCCTAGTGCAGAGGGACTGGACCTGATGATCTACAAGGTCCCTTCCAGCCCCTAACAATCTATGAATCTATGAATTTTTGAGTTATGTGGTTATCCCTAATTTATGAAAAATAAAATGTGTTCTGTAGCCTGCAGCTAGATAGTCTGTCTCACATACAAATCCGCACACATACTGTGATGATGCTATTTTTATATGCTGTTGTATGGGGGGACCTGAATAACTCATTCATATCTTATAGATTATGTGGTCACCACAAGTACAAACAAATTACACTATTTTACACTGGAACATCGTTCCTGTAACATTTATGTAAGATGTATATGTGTTATCATGTATATGATAACATTTTACACACACTGACATCTTGGATTTTAAGTTGTTAGTCCCAAAGTCACAGAACAAATCTGTGACATCTGAAAACAGAGCCTGGGACCCTTGAATTTCTAATTCCTGCTTTTATTATTAGTTTAATCAATTATATTGAGCCAAATTCTGCCCTCAGATGTACTTTTATAGACCTCCTTGAGAGCTGAATTAATTGAATAATATTTGTATGGATCCATGGACTGAGCTGGCAACATTTTTTTGGCAAATAGTAAGTTTCTAAAAAGCTCATGGTTTAGATGATATCAAAATTTTAAGTGAATTCAATCCAAATTTGTTATATTTTCAGGTGGAAAAAGAGGTATAGGGCTGGATTTCACAGTGGTCGTGGTGACTTTTGGTCCCTTTTCCACAAGGATGTAGGAAGTCCAGATTTAAGTCCCCGCTCTGTCTCATGGATTTTAACCCAAATCTACTACCTTCCTGGCAAGTTTTTTCACCCTCAGGCTATTGCACTCTTGAGAGCAGGAGGGCTCAGTCTGTCCTGCTGACACTTTCATTTTTCTCAAATAATCAGGTATTCACTAGAGCAGGGATTGGAGTCACAAAGTCCTACCTCCAGGGTGAATATCCTAACCATCAGGCTAGAGAGTCGTTTTCTTGTGTTTGCTGTGTTTCTCTGAGATGAATTAATTGTGTTATATAAAATGGAGGAGCTCAAAGAAGACAAAGGAAGACCCAACCCAAAATATCCTATACCTGAAATGGTTAAGATATTCACCTGAGCACTTAAATCTCTTAGCTCAAATCCCCTTTATGAAGGAAGTATGGAGTAGAATAGAACTTGGTTCTCTTAGCCCCGATAGCATATGACGAAGTAGGCTGTTGCTTACAAAAGCTCATGCCTCTCTAAACCAGTTGGACTCCAAGGCCGTGTCCAGACGAGCAAGCATGTGCCTGTTGTAGTTTTTCAAAGCAGTTTAAGATGCTGCAAGTAGCACACTGGGAATGAAAAATGTTCCCTGTGCTGTATATTTGCAGCACCGATTCTAATTTTGATACCAGGAAATCCAGGCACGTGTGCTGAGAAACAAATTTCCGGCACAAATTTGTGCCTCTGCTATTTGAGCTGCTGCAAGTGCACGTGCCTGCATGTGTGGCTGTGTCCTAAAGTGCTCCCCGTTAGACCTTCTGCCTACCTCTCATGAGGTATGATGGATTGTAGATCATTGTGAATTGGAGCTCTCGCAGTTCTTCCTAGTGAAGTTTTTTCACAGTGTGTAAGATAATTGGATTACAAGAGTGATTCTCAGCCAGGTTGCTGCGAGATCCTTTCAAGGGTCCATATAATATTAGCAGTGTTAGGAGTTCATTGTGTCAAAGACTTTCTGACTTGTGATCTTTCTGAGTTCTTTGCACCATAACAATTGGTCTATTATTTTTCCATAGTCAAAAACAAGGGAAAGATAAGAGCTGGCATTTTCCGACAGCAGCCTTGAGTTTAACAAGTGGTGCCTTGAGTCTAAGAAAGGTTGAGAACCACTGGACTAGAGAAAAAATAAGCCTCTATACTGGTGATTAGGACACTGTGGCTGCATCCAGGCGAATGCTGCCATGCAGTATGTGGCACTGCAAACACTTCTGCGGTGCCACATACTGAACATTCAGATGTTGGTCATACTGCAAGGGTGTGTTGCCCATGTGTGCACTGCTTGGCCTTTTTTTTCCCTGGGTTTTTTTTGACCCCTACATGTCCACGTGATAAGTGGAGAATGTGAAACTAGGAAAAGTGAAAGATAAAGTCCCCTTTTCACTACTAATGGCTATTATATCTCTACTACTTTTTTTTTCAAGTACTGGAAAAATGTCAGAGTTTCTAGTGACTTTAACAGAAGCAGGATTAAGCTCCAAATGACTTGTTTACATGAGTGGGAGACTGAAGACACTGGTATTATTTCACAAGGAAAGATTCCAGATAGAGATAGTTTTAGCTCATGGAAAAACAGGCCAAGAGGTAGATCTGCTCAGTAAAGGCCTAAAAGTGCTTGGTGCTGCATATTGACATCAGCAGTTTAGAAGGGCCAGGTTCTTCATTCTTTCAGAAATCTGTATAGGGATTGGAATCATGAAGTCCTGAAGGTCTGCATTTAAGAAGGAAGGCCTAACACAGGTAAAAAACTGTTTTGCTCATAATGGGCACATCTACACGTTCATTAATATGTGGTGGTCACTGCACATTTAATTTAGTTATTGTATAATCATATACTAAATAAAAGCACAGTAACCAGAGTTACTGCGCAGTAGTGCTGGTAAAGGTCCTTGTAGTGACATAACTGCACAGTAGCTTAGTAATACTGTGCAGTAGTGTTTCAGCATGTTTGTTCTGTGATGTGCTATTGTGCAGTATTATTAGGCTGCTGCATAATTAGTGTTTCCTGTAGATGCACCCAGTGAAATGTAAATAAAAAAAATGGCATCCAAAAAGCCAAGGCAGTGACATCCAAAGCAGTTCTCTTAAGTCTGATTATGTGATAGAGTTGGGCATATCTAACACTGCCAGTACAGCTTCCTGAGTAGTTCGCCAAGGAAGGAAATGCTACGTCTGCAAGGGTATTTTCTAGAGTTTGGCATTTGAGAGTCTTGTGACTACCCATCTAAAAAATAAGAGGTGACAAAGGGAAGCAAAACAATGTTATCTTGGCACCTCAGAACATATTAAGCTGCCATGTGAGCTTCATGTTTCTTTTCTTTTAAAAGGACTCATGTACGGAAGCAAAAAATATAACTTAGTGAAATGCTGTAAAAAATTGATGTGCTTTTTTTTTTTAAACAATTCAAACGCAAATACACAAGTTTGTTTAAACTAAGGATTTAATATCCTTTTTTAGTTTAACAAAGAGTCCACAGAAGCATTAGAGGAGTACTTGAGATAAAGAGGCAATGGGTTACTATGGATTAGGTGTATATAATATAGAAAATTAATATTTTGAGACATGATGGATAGATAGCTTTCAGTAAAATATAGGTGCTTCTGCTTTTTGGTGCATTCAAATCAATTGGAATGCAGATTTCTTCAATTTAGAATAATATTTGCATGTTGAAGTATAATGACTGTTAGTAAGGTAGGTCCGACGTGAGTTCACATATTGGGGATTTAAATGCGTGCGCAAACATGTGCATATGAAGCCTGACCTGCTTGTTGAGATCAGGCGATTGCATGTGAACTATTTAAGGAGAGGCAAAAGTCTATACATAATATAGTGTGTGAAACTGGAAAATGTGGGGTTGCTGTAGTTAAATTTCTAGACCTTGATCCTTTAGGCACTTGGGTGTAGGCACATCACATGAACAAATTTAAATCAGCTCCTGCAAAATGAACGTATCCACCTAGAGTGTTTATTGTTTTTTTTTCATAATTTGATTTGACTGCATTAGAGCAGCATAAGAATGAGGCGTAAAGGCCTGATCCTGAGCAACCAGAATCATCCAATAGCATTCAGACACTTGTAGGAACAGACACAAGTTGGATCCATCTATGCTAACTTTCAACTTCTCAGGTATTTCTACTGCATTTCATACTTTTAGAGTTGGCCATAAGCCTCCATTTGAAGTGGTTTATTTTTTGTCCCCCTCCAAACTTTGTCAAATAATGGAGCAGTTCTGCAACATGGAAAAATAGCCACTGGGACTAAGTTCAAAGTCCCACTAAACCCATTTTACATATTAATTTAAATGGCTTTCTAACGAAGGCTAACAAGAGTGAAAAGAGAAAGTCCAGTGGATTAATCCACTCATGGCCACAGCCTTTATTTTTTTATGGGCTTTGCTTGGGGATCAGAGGAGAGAAAAATGTGACACTTTGACATGATTTGTACTATTTCCCCCCCAAACAGCAGTAGTATCCCTCTCTCCTCGTACCTCTGTACAGAGTATCCGGACCTAGGGTCCCTGCCCTGTAAGTGCACAGATGATGAATAGTTTCGGAGAAGGCTGTTAGCCATTCCACCTGTAGCACCTTGGACGCAATGAAGAAATTTGGACTCTAAGGGGTGCATCTCAGTCACAGTGCCTCCTCACTCTATGCATACAGTAGTACAGCTTACTTTCTTACAGTACTACCACACTTTCCTCAGCGTTAGTAGTCCCTAACTAGCTCAGTGTTTTCATAAAATACTGGATAGAACACAAATCCTCTAAAATTGCTCTAAGTGCAGTGTTTTCCTAAAGTGAAACATATTGGAGAAGCTAGGAATTAATTTGATGCGCTCTGGTTGCGTGAAGCAGATTTGTTTTTCCTTGTTCTTCCTTGTTCATCACTGCAACCTCAATTGAAAGCAGCATGCTATGCATCCTCAAACTCCTTCCTTTTCAGTAACTGCTGCATGTTTGATCTCCTTAATCAAGCCCCTAAGGGTACTATTACCCCAGGTGAGAATGGTCTCCTTTCCTTATGTGACATACCTATCCAGGAGCTCAAACATTGACTTTATTTGCTTTTGAGTGCTAGTTCCAGC